TGAGTGTGACCATCCAGCCAATTCTTTATTCCCCGTGTGGTCCACCTGTCAAATCCATATCTTGCCAATTTAGAGACAAGGATGTCATGTGAGACAGTGTCAAATGCTTTGCACAAGTCCAGGCAGATGACGTCAGTTGCTCTTCCCTTATCCACCAACATTGTAACCCTGTCATAGAAGGCCACCAAATTTGTCAGGCACAATTTGCTCTTAGTGAAGCCATGTTGGCTGTCACAAATCACCTCCTTATTTTCCATGTGCCTTAACGTAGTTTCTAGGATGATCTGCTCCATGATCTTGTCAGGCACAGAGGTGAGACTGACTGGCCAGTAGTTCCCTGTGTCTCCTCTTTTTCTCTTTTTAAAAATGGGGGTTATGTTTCCCCTTTTCCAGTCAGCGGGAACTTCCCTGGACTGCCATGACTTCTCAAATATGAAGGATAGTGGCTTAGTCCTTTCATCCGCCAGTTACCTCAGGACCCACAGATGCATCTCATCAGGCCCTGTTTTTAATCCACATTGGCGAATGCATTATAAGGTCTTGTGGTCTCGTGGCCCTTCCATCCCCATACGAGCTGGAAAATTAACTGGTGTGTTGTGACATGTCCGTTTATGACTATAAAATGAGATGTCTGTTTGTCTCTTTCTTCTAATTTAATAATTACAAAAAATTACTTCGAGACATGGTTTAGTGGGTTTAGTGGGCATGATGGCGTTGCACAGAAGGTTGGACTTGATGATGTTTGAGGTCTCTTCCAACCATAACAATTCTATGATTCTATGATTCTATGACTTATACACCTTCAGGTTCCTTAGATGGTCTCGAACCTGATCTTCTACAGTGGGTGGTTCTTCATTCTCCCAGTCCTTGCTTTTGCTTTCTGCAACTTGGACGGTGTGGCTGGAGCACTTGCCAGTGAAGACTGAGGCAAAAAAGGCATTGAGTACCTTCTCCATGTCCCTGGTGACCAGGTCTCCTGTTTCTTTCTGGAGAAGGCTCACATTTTCTCCAGTCTCTGCTCGTATATCAAGCTGTTGGCCACAACTCTTTGAGTGTGACCATCCAGCCAATTCTTTATTCCCCGTGTGGTCCACCTGTCAAATCCATATCTTGCCAATTTAGAGACAAGGATGTCATGTGAGACAGTGTCAAATGCTTTGCACAAGTCCAGGCAGATGACGTCAGTTGCTCTTCCCTTATCCACCAACATTGTAACCCTGTCATAGAAGGCCACCAAATTTGTCAGGCACAATTTGCTCTTAGTGAAGCCATGTTGGCTGTCACAAATCACCTCCTTATTTTCCATGTGCCTTAACGTAGTTTCTAGGATGATCTGCTCCATGATCTTGTCAGGCACAGAGGTGAGACTGACTGGCCAGTAGTTCCCTGTGTCTCCTCTTTTTCTCTTTTTAAAAATGGGGGTTATGTTTCCCCTTTTCCAGTCAGCGGGAACTTCCCTGGACTGCCATGACTTCTCAAATATGAAGGATAGTGGCTTAGTCACTTCATCCGCCAGTTACCTCAGGACCCACAGATGCATCTCATCAGGCCCTGTTTTTAATCCACATTGGCGAATGCATTATAAGGTCTTGTGGTCTCGTGGCCCTTCCATCCCCATACGAGCTGGAAAATTAACTGGTGTGTTGTGACATGTCCGTTTATGACTATAAAATGAGATGTCTGTTTGTCTCTTTCTTCTAATTTAATAATTACAAAAAATTACTTCGAGACATGGTTTAGTGGGTTTAGTGGGCATGATGGCGTTGCACAGAAGGTTGGACTTGATGATGTTTGAGGTCTCTTCCAACCATAACAATTCTATGATTCTATGATTCTATGACTTATACACCTTCAGGTTCCTTAGATGGTCTCGAACCTGATCTTCTACAGTGGGTGGTTCTTCATTCTCCCAGTCCTTGCTTTTGCTTTCTGCAACTTGGACGGTGTGGCTGGAGCACTTGCCAGTGAAGACTGAGGCAAAAAAGGCATTGAGTACCTTCTCCATGTCCCTGGTGACCAGGTCTCCTGTTTCTTTCTGGAGAAGGCTCACATTTTCTCTAGTCTTCCTTTTATCACCAACATAAATATAGAAGCTTTTCTTGTTGCCCGTGATGACCCTGGCCACATTAAATTCTATCAGGGCTTTAGCTTTCCTAACTTGATCCCTGTCTGCTTGTACAATTTCTCTGTATTCCTTTCTGTATTCCTGTACAGACAATTCCATATTGTCTACGACTACACGTAAGTTCTTACCTGCAAGCCTGCAGCACTTGAAGAATATTAAATTTTACAGAGTTAATCTTCAGAGACCGTGGAAATTATATTTTTTACTGCAGTAGTAGAGATGTCCAATCATGGCCGGTGACTCTACTACATAAACCTTGAGGAAAATACAAAATTTGTTGTGCCCTTGAAGAAGTCAGTTTCATTAGGTGGTGAAAACACTACAGTTTTAAGCTTCATACTGTATATCTCAGTTCCTTT